TTGTTTAACATGTCTCCTTTTTGTTGATGATAAAGGAGGAGAAATAATGAATGTTTGGTGTCATGAAATGATGAATGGTATCATGCATGAAGTGATAAATGGTTAAAATTTTAATGTTTAGTATCATGTATGTTATGCCAAAAATGATGTTAATTTTAGTATCATGCATGAAATGATGAATGCTTTAATATCATGTATGTTATGTCTAAAGTGATGTTAATTTATTTTTTGGTCTCTAGTAATGTTTTGAAATTGTGCATGTTACATTTAGATGCACAATGTATGAAATTTTGATATGATATATTGTATTTGATCACTACGATTAAAATTGTTTCACTTGAATTCAAATGTTATGATTCCTTTTGATGGATGGCCCATTTAGTGACCTAATGCCATGTTAGGCGGTGGCACCGCCAAAGCTGATAGTGAAATCACTTGAGGCTCGGCCTCCGAGGGAGTCTGGGCGGTGGTAACGTTGACAATTAATGCTGACAGGTGGTGGTATCACTAGAGCGTAATCTTCAAGGCTTTCTCAGGCGATCGTACCGCCCAGACTGGATGATGGTACCGCCCAATGTCAAAGAGTAATGGCGGTGGTATCGCACAGTACCCTAAGAACTCGAGATAAAAATATTTTTAGCTTCATTTTTTAAGTCATTTGGGGTCTATAAATACCCCTCTCATCTTTGCTCAGCATACAGAACATCTTGAACAAAAATTAGTGTGAAACACTATTGTAATTCCTAAAAGTTCCCTCTCTCTAGTTCTAAGTTTTGAATTCAATTTGAGAGAAGGGTGAGTGAATTGTAAATGTTGTCTCTTAAACCTGTAAAAAGAAGAAAAGGATTGTAAGAGGGTAGTTGGTATTCACCTGAAAGAAGACCATTAGTGGACGCTGGTGGCCTCAACGAAGGAGGAATCGAGAGTAGACGTAGGTTATGACGACCGAACCACTATAAATTTGGTGTACATCTTCTTTCTACTCTTCATTACTATTATTTTTCTGCTTTAACTGCTTATTACGTCTAAGTCAAGCACACTTCGATATCATTTTAGATACGGTTTCATTGAATTAAGCTTTTCCAAATCATTGAAGTTTTCCGAATCGACGTCGTTTTCCTAAAAGAACTAATTCACTCCCCTCTTAGTGTTGATTTCGGTCCTAACACGAGCGATAGTATTCAATACATGAAAAGAAGATGCTACATTCTCAGAATGTGATTTGTGCTAAATACGGACATCACATTGAGTTACTTTCAAACTAAAAAGAAACTATCTCCAAAGTAAACACGATGGTAAGACTTCCTAACTGAATTTGAGAGGGAAAGAGTTTTCCGAGAGAATCCAATTATAATGAGACTAGAGTTGATTTCGTATGGGCCTTACAGCACCATGCCCGATATACGATTTTTGAGATATTAGATAGATGAGGGACTATAGATATATTATAACTAAGGATAGACAAATCCAATGATTGAATTCTCCTATATCGTCTAGGGACTACGTCGTAATGGACTAGTACATCCGAAATCGATGAGTCGAATGAATTATTATGAAGATAATAATTCATTGAGTCAGAAGGAGTTCTGACAGGTATGACTCACGACAAACTTGATATTGGATCTAGAGGGTCACACACGTATAGTAAGTGTTGCGACGAGTAGAGATTCAAATATGATATATCCGCTAGAGCCCTTATCTTATTTGATATCTAATAAGCCCTTAAATTATTGGATCTTGTGGATAAAATCCATAAGAGCCAATGAGAGATTATTGGGTAGAGATCCATTAATCCAAGAGGCTTAGGTAGTTGGATGAAGATCTAGTACTCAATATGGTAAAATTTATTAGGGTTAAGTTGAGAGAGGACTTCTATAAATAGAAGAGAACCAATGGGTCATAGGCTAGACCTTTTTTGGCTACCACCTCCTATACTCCTCTCTCTCTCTCTCTCTCTCTCTCTCTCTCCTCAACCAACAATCCCAGATTGGGATGTGTGGACAATAAGAAGGGTCGACCCCTTCTTGATCGTGTGATGTACGTGGAAAGGAGGATTGTGCAACAATTTGATGAGCGACTTTGTAGCTCGATCGTGTGGATCACCGCTGGAGAGGAGGATATTTGACCTCCTTCATCCTCTCCTATAAATCTGTAGGTTTACATGGACATATGAATCTCCCTATGTAATATATCTTTTACATATGCATAGTTTTCGATTTTGCAGGTTTTTATGCACCGATCTTCACACGATGATGAGAAACTTTTTCTACGAGATATTCTAGGATTTTATTTTTTTTATTCTTCTGTTGCGCATATGATGTTGCCCTAGATTTCGTAACAGACTCACCTTTGCGGTATCATGACATCTACTTCTTGAATTAATAACCCCTCTTGTCATCATGCCACTCACCAAAGTGAAGCTCCCAGTAGCTCCCGATCATGCCTTTATATGATCAAGCCCCTCACGGGATTTCTTTTGTGTGTGATGCATTGCCTCGAACTGTTCTATCATGATCCACTAAACCATGTCGCCTCCTAGTGATATCTCTATTGTATTCTAATCTTTGTGTGATAAATTCATACTATAATATCTCCATGTGTGATCTTTACCAGCACATCGTAGGGCTTCTATCATATTCGATTGTGTTTGCTCCTTTAGCATTCAATCTTCGTCCACTCACTCTCGGGTCACACACGAACGAAGTATAGCTCTATGATAATACATTGCTTAATAGCTCTCAAAATGTACCCACTTAACTAAAATTAGTTCGTCATTCTCTAGATCCCAAATACCTGCCTCTAGCACAATCTCTATCGTGCACAACATCCCATGCAGTAACTCAAATGATAATATTATGGTATATTCTTCAAGAGTATCAATTTTTACATTCTCTTGCCTCGTGTCAAGGCCTTCAAGCCTCAACTTCACTTTCACAAGTTGAGTCATCTTAATCCCTCTGTCAATTGTTTCGCCAAGATAAGCTACATGTCTCTCGTAGCTCAATTTGCCTTTGTCATCATGCAAGATGAGTCTGCTCTATCAGAATAAAAGACCTATGGAATGACATGATCTCGCTCTTACCTCTACAAAAATTCATGTCCTTGACCTTTGTCTAAGAAAAGATTTGTGCCTCTGCTCCATATTTTATTTTGTATGTTGACTCCCTTTATGCGACTTGGGTACTTCACAAAGTTCCACCTAAGTTGCTCTGTTCCTTGGTTTACATTGAGATGATGATGGTCCTCATGCCCACCATTCCACGAGTCAACCCTCCATTGAGTTCGATCTCTATATTAACTCTAAGTATCCATTCATTTGGTGTTGCCTAGGGTCACTCCCTCGCTTTATTTTGTAATGCATCCGTTGATATATTACCTCGTGTGAAATCATGCGATGATTCCTCGTCGCTCGCTTAGTATATACGATTCGTTACATATGATTCTCTCTTTGGAGAACTAGGATGTATCCATCCTAAATATTTATCCCGTTGGAGTAACTTTTTTTTTTTTGATCGCTCTCTAGAAGTTTTAGAGACCACCATCCCCTTTGACTACTCGACCTTATTGAACAAACTATGCACTATTTTGCTACCACAAACTCACTTACTAGATTGTGACTCTTCGTTAATATAGTCTCGCAAAGCCACTCGAGGGCCAAGTAATATGCTAAACTTGCTGTACACTTTATCCTCTTATGGACGTGTCCTTCTCGAGACGAAGAGAAAATTTCTTGCTTCATAGCATCAAGTTTTAGTCACCTTGGATGGCCACAAACAATCCATCATCTGCATTCAAACTATTGCATGAGTACCGAATTTTTGAGTTAGAAATTCTCCTTACCTCTATGAGCATTACGCAACTCTTACAATCAGTAAGCAACCTGTCCCTCCTTACATGGTCTCATTCTTTACTGCCAAGCGCTCATTTGCCTTGAGCATTGTTAAGCTTAGTTACCAATATTGAGCTATAACTCAAATTAAACCATCCAAACCTTTGTGTATTATGCATTCTTCATAATTTACTTATCCTCGTGGTGATTCACATGCAAAGGGTTGATTATTCCTTTGAATAAGCTCACACCTCCAAGTTCCTTATATCTCTACGATTGTTTTTCTCGAACGATCACGCGTGCTAGCTAACTCCGCTAAGTCCCTCATGTTTACATGCCAAATGTTTCTAGGTGTACTTGCCCTACTCTTATATCATCTATTACAAACTTAATTGGTTTTACCTAAATCATTCAACACCCTTGCATGTTTGTTCGCAAAAGATCAACCTTCTCGAAACCTCTTAAGATCCCTTAAAGACTTGCAAAAGAGAATATGGATCTCACATGCAGATATTTCAACAAATACTTAATAAACAATGCAAATAATAAATATAAATTTAGTAAACTCTAAATGATCACATGACAAAAGATCCAAGGTAACTACCGCAACTAAAGGTCTATACAAGTGCCTACATGATGCTGTTACAGAACAAAGCGACAAATCAATTTTAAACACTATCTTAAAGGTCCATCCAATCATAACCACCCGAGTAACTCTTAAAGCTATGCTGATTGACACTTCGTATCGCTCTACATAACTAGAAAATCCTCAAAATGACTATTTGAATGATTTATTTTTAAATAATTTTATCTTTATATAACGATTGCATTCAACTTACTTATATTTATAGGATTAAAACAATCATAAAAACCAATCATAATAGGAATGTCAAGCCTATGCAGGCCCCTAGAGAATATAAACAAAAAGTCAAAAGATATAGATATATATAAATATTATATTAAATACTCTATATTCATATTTATCCGTGAAATTATGATCAAAGATCTTATAGATTTTGTTGATCCAAGACACTCAGCCGGTCAATTGTTAGCAAGATCAGCCAAGGATCAAAATGCTTGTGCCTTTATATTTGGACGAGATCCATAACTCTCTCTGGTCCAAACATTTCAGCCATGTAGAAAAATGAGGATTTTAGCGAGGAGCCAAACATAAATGCAGAAAAAGCTCAGATAATTACCACAATCTGCATCCATGAATCAGCAACAAGGTACAAGAATGCAAGGCTGAACACCACCCATCCTACCAGCCATAATTCATCAAATCTCACGTGATTGCCGATCAACTTCTTCTTCCACACTTTGCCAATGCGAGGATCAGCTGAAGCACTGAGATGCATAGGCTGACAACTAACTGGAGATTAGAAGACTAAGAGACCACGGTATCGTCGTACACAGAATTCTTAAAGAGTTATGACCAGTGATTATTTGAACTCACATCGAAGAAGCCTACTGTCGCTCTATCTGGATGGTCACATGACTGATGTTGTACTCCCTCCTGATGTATCTTATCACCAGATCGAGCACATGATCGGCATCTGAGTCTGGAGTGATCGTGACATGGCAGGCAAGGAGGACCTTCCCCACCGTGATCGCCCATATGTGGAGCTCATGAATGGCAACCACGCCATCCAATTCGCATAGACCTTTCTCCAGCTTGCTAGCGTCTATCTCTCGCGGGGTGCTCTCCATGAGCACCTCCAGGATGTTCCTCAGCATCTTGATGGTAGTCAACAGCACGACGACGGAAAAGATGAGCGTGCAAATCAGATCGATGATCTTCCACTCGGGTTTGTACCATATGAGAGCCCCTCCAATCATGACTCCGATGCTTTGGATTGAATCTCCAAGAACATGTAGATAAGCACTGTGGACATTGATGTTGCGCTGCTGCGTCCTAACACCAGAATTCTCAGCTGGAGAACGTTCGACGTCTCCTAAAAGTGGGATCTTCTCCTCACCTGTATGATGATGATGGTGGTGGTGGTGATGGGTTGTGACAGAAATGCCATGACAACGAGTATGCTCTGCACCATGTAAGTGGTTGTGACGGTGGTCAGCATCATGCTGAGAGTGGTCATGGTCGGCCTTGGTGTGGCCGTGACTGTGTCCACCGTGTCCATGGCCGTGCTCATGACCCAGCACGGCAGCCATTATAATGTTCACCAACAAGCCAAATGCTGCAACAGCAAACATCAGTTTGCCTTGGACCTCACCGTTGTCATGTATGATTCTGTCAATAGCTTCATAAACCAGTATGCCAGCTAAAAGCCATATCATCTGAATGGAGACCAATGTTCCAAGAATCTCTATTCGGAAAAAGCCATATGATTGCTGTGGTGTTGCCTCCCATCCAGATGCCCAGAGCGAGAATAAGGAGATAGCGAAAGCGGCAACATCGGAGAGGAGATGAGCAGCATCAGTTAAGATTGCAAGACTGTTTGCTGCAACACCTCCAGCCACTTCGACGCCCATGAATACGACACAAAGGATAACAGCAACCATAAGTTTCCTCATCGAGGCAGATCGCTCTTTGGCATCATGTGAACTGCTTCTGATATCAGAAAAATCACAAGCTGCACCCCCGCAAATCTTGTTCCCGCCTAGGCCAGAAACCCCGGGAGGCACATCCATGTCTACTTCAATAATTTGAGCTGACTCGGAGTTCTGCGTCTCCATCTGAAATAACAAATAAAATGCCTATCAGACATTCTCCCTTCAATCAACGTGTTTTTAACACTAGCAAACAATGTCGAGAAGCGCTTCACAACAAAGAAAATTCACTGTGAATGGAAGTTCCCACGTAGCATATGAAAATTACAAGTTTTAATCATGACAAATTCAACATGAACAATTTAATGATCTGAAATAATAACTAAACCAAGCATTACAATACTTTATAATCAGAAGATGACCACAGAAACTGATGGAAATGTCACAAGTTTCCAATATTCAATGTCAAGATATCACAAGTCAATAAAACGAAGAAATCAATAGCAAGGAAAGCTTAGAATTATAATATTACCAACCAACTAAATTAAGCTATGGAGAGTGAAGAACGAACGTACACCAGGTTTGATGCAATTAAATACCTCTGTCCCTTGTAAAGAGATCAAGATATCTTGAAGCATAAGGGGTCCGTACCCTGTAATTTAGCATGTATGCTCAGATAAGATCTTGGCTATTTGTATGATCAAGGACTCTTTAAAAATTGAGATAGGCTATTCATTTTCTAGGTTGAGCAGTTCTATTTTTAATTATATAATGAGTTGTCACGTCAGTAGTTATCAAAGTTGAATAATTCTTCTACGAATTGCTTTCAATCCTAAAGCAAGATTAAGCCACCAAGTAGGACGTAGTAATTATGTCTATATTCTAAGAACTTGTTTTCATTGGCAGATTGTGCTATTGCATAGGCAAGCACCAGCCGATGCATCAGATGCTCTAAATAAAATAAACTATCAAATCAATCAATTATGGCTGACAGAGAGCCGCCCAAAAGGAAAATACATTAGGTCAAATGTCTATCAAACTCCGAAAGTTGACTGCACTGAGTATTCTAATTTACTGAACAAAAAAAATTGACTATCATGATGCTGAATTTGATGTGGGTAAAATAAAAGTCCTGACTGCTTTGCTTTAAGGCAAAAGTTGCCTTCAGGTACGGAGGATAATTTCAAATCGGTGGAGCTATTAATTCCTCTGGAATTTTCTTAACCTGGCGACAATGGTGTAAAGGCAGAACTCCTTTTCATTTATATCAATAATAATTCCCTACTCAAGGCCAAGTTCATGTTGAAACTACAATGATTGCGGATGTCACGATGCGGTGACATAAAAGAGTGACAACTCACAGAGGAAGACAATAAACATATTTTAACACAGTACAGTGAAGGAAGATCCTATATAGGTTCATTGACTATGATAAAGCCAAAACAACCACACCTAAACTCCCTCTTATATAATTTTCCAAGGCTTCCAAGATATGATTCACCAACAGTGAGCATTTACTCAAACAAGAAGCCACTGCTGTAAACCCCTTTTTTACGCCCAAATAATATATATATATATATATATATATATATATATATATATATATATATATATATATATATATATATATATATATATATTCTCACTTTTATCTGTGACAATCACCCAGCAAATGAGATCAATCTGATCACCGTCAAAGATCAAACCAACGCCAGATGAACCATTGCAAGAACCGTAAACACCCAGCCTACTGTTATGCACGATCTCCAAGTTTCTTTGGACCCTACTTTTGGAATAAAGAAGGCAAATCTGCGCTCATTCCAGGACACAAAATCGAACCCTAAAACAACATATCTTTATCGACAAAGAAGAGAAGCAAACCCAAAATATCAGAGATTATTCAACAAGAACAAACATAAAGACCGTAGAAAAGAGAAAAAGAAATGCAAAACGGGAAAAGAAATTTGTTCTCATCAATCAAGACAAAAAATTCATTATCGATCATGACTGCAATTAAGAATATAGCACCCAAAACCGAAACGAAATCTCCCAAGATTTTGCCCATATAAGAGGCACAAAAGAAGCGAAAAGAGTTGGAATCGAAGGCAGCGATCGAAGAGAAGAAGGGGGGAAAGCGTTGGTACCTTGGGAGACGAAGGGATGGATCTCGAGCGGCGGCGCCTCCGAGTCGGATTTGGGTTGGGAGAGAAGGAAAGCGAGGCGAGCGGGCGGCAGAGAGATTAGCGTGAGGGGGGAGATTGGATACAACCGCCTCTCGTGGGATGAGATTTAAAACGGACCGGATTAGGTAGCAAATAAGTTCCAGGGAATACGCCGCGCTCGACGGTCACCACGATCTGTACTCACCACCGGAACTGCGGGGTCCACAGCAAAGAACAAATTGGTTAAGCGGTAGGAAAATTGAGGTCATCTAGAGGGACTACCGCCGTGGCTGCACGCCCACAGCAGTTGCCCCGCTGGACTGTGGAAGGGAGGCGAGTTGGAAAGTCAAAATTGGATACCGGTTCGGATCAGCCGACCCGTGGATTTCCTGACTAATCGCGCGTCCACCGATCGAATCGGACCGGCGGCAAAGGGGACCCATTGCTTGCGTAGTCCGCCAGGTGGAAGGTGACGTAGCTGTGACAAGCTATTTGGTCTTTCCTTCTTCACGGGATGAAGCTGTTGAGGGATTCTTTCTTGTGAAGGAAAAGGACGAAAAGCATTCAGGGCGTTGTCTCCATCCTCGTCATGGCTTTGAGTCGATAAAACAATTTTTTGGGGTTTATAATGTTTTTGGACGTCAAGAAATCTAAATAAGGAAATCGTTTTAAAGGAAAAAATATATTAAAATTTAGGACTTGATTGTTATATAAATATTTCATCTCATTTTAATTTTTATCGGGATGATGAAGTGTATTATATAGATGTCTGAGAACTTGTTTGGAGACATGGTAATGACATCAACATAGGACTTTGTCCACCAAATATTGTAATGACTCCTTCTGCTGCTACTTGCGTTGAAGGTTGAATAATTAAGTAAGAAAAGGTCACAATGGATCGCCCATTGTAATGACAACTTGTAGATGTATTCCGGAAGTCGATTTTAGCCATGTTTAGCTAATTTATGGAGACTTTAGTATCTTAGCTACTCTTCCAAGGTATTCATCCGAGCCGTGGGACTGACTTCCCATCGCCACCGAATACGCTTTCACCATCGATGTCCTTCTCTCTAATGCTTCCAAGTTAGGGAGAGAGAGAGAGAGAGAGAGAGAGACCTGCAACAGATGGCTAGCTGTGTTCACCGTTAACTAGTCTCACAAGCAATATATGTTCCTCTCTCTAATACTTCCAAGAAGAGAGAGACATAAATCAGAAGACTCGAAAGCATGGCTTCTTTTTGCATAGAATTTTCTGTAGGAGTTGTGAAGTTGACGGACTGATAATGACACTGCTGAAATGTATACACCTTATCAGAGAGTAGTTTGAGAGTGACAACGTTGAAAATCCAGCAGAAGAATCCATGACAATATCCTCAATTCTTCAGCAATTGATGCAAATGGATAGGTACTTCGAATGGATCCGCAACTTTCTTCTATCTTTATACTATTTGAAATGTGAAACTCACATCTGTAGGGTAAGTAAATATCGATGATGTCCATGTCAATTCGAATTATCTAGACGAAACAAGAGCTCAAACATCTATTTGGTGGCCAACCTATATGAAATACTAAGATTCCTAGATGAAAAACAATAGCTTCCAGTAAAATAGTATTTGACAATGATTAATTCAAGAAAATATGATATGTATGAAATATTGAACATCAATATGGTTGACTTGTTAATTGAAACTCGTTTTTATTTACAGGAATATATCCTCTACCAATGTCAAATGCAGACCACTGTTCTTACTTTCTCCTTTCCTGATATAAGATTTGAAGTGCAACCTACACATAATGCTCTGCATGGAAAGAAGATTGAAGATACTTTCTTAATTTAATGCTCTGCATGGATGCAACTTCTTAGGTTAGTGCACATATTCTTTTCATGTTCTAATGGGTGACGCAATGTTCGATTTGGACACGAATGGAAAGAAGATTGAAGTCTAAAATCCATATCAATCCTACTCAACATGGCTTCAATTAGTGACCAAAATTATTGTCCTCTCTCTCTCTCTCTCTCTCTCTCTCTCTCTCTC